TTTGGTCCTTTCATTTTGGGGGTCATGTTTTTTTTTTTTTTTTTTTTTTTTTTTTTTTTTGAGTATATGTATTTATTTTTTTTTTCTTCTGGGTCTTGTTTGTTTATTTGAGCGTCGAGAGTGCGTTGTGTTACTGTATTGTGCGAGTTGTGTAATTATCTTTTATTCCCTTTGGCCCGAACGCAAAGAAGGCACGAGGAGAGGGAAAAAAGAGAAGATAGTGATTATTATGAGTGCGAGGAGGAAGAGAAAGGGAAAGGGAGGAGGAGAAAGGGAAAGGGGAAAGAGGAAGGGAAAGGGGAGGAGGAAGGGAAAGGGAGGAAGGGAAAGGGAGGAAGAGAAAGGGAGGAAGAGAAAGGGAAAGGGGAGGAGAAAGGGAAAGGGGAGGAGAAAGGGAAAGGGGAGGAGAAAGGGAAAGGGGAGGAGAAAGGGAAAGGGGAGGAGAAAGGGAAAGAGGAGGAGAAAGGGAAAGAGGAGGAGAAAGGGAAAGAGGAGGAGAAAGGGAAAGGGAGGAAGAGAAAGGGAAAGAGGAAGAGAAAGGGAAAGAGGAGGAGGAGGAGGAGGAAAGGATAACGGGGGAAGAAGAAGAAGAAAGGATAGCGCAGGAGGAGGAGGAGGAAGAGTAGGAAAGGATAGCAGGGGAGGAGGATAAGGGCGACGACTAAGGGGAAAGAAAAAGATGATACTAAGGTTTCGAGCGTATTATTCTAGCGCTGAATTGGCCGCGGTAACCTGTTGCTCAAAGCGGTAACATCCTTTGGCGAAGCAACTGTGAATAAAGGGAGGATATAAAGAATGGAAGGGGGGGGGGGGCTGGGGAAAGGTGTGAGAGGAGAGGTTGGGGCTTGAGAGAGGGAGGGGGAAGGTGAGGTGCATAGGTGCTTTGATTAATCTCTCCTTGCCCACTCAGACGTCATGGTTTCGCTTGTTCTGACTTTTCTCTCCTCCCCCCCCCCTCTTCCTCTTTCCTTTCCTTTCGTTCCTTGTTCTTTATTTTCGTCATACGACGTCGTTCTCTCTCCCTCCCCTGCTCCCATTTTCCCTTACTCTCCTCCTCCACTCCCCTCCTCCTACTCCACTCCTCGTCCTTCCCCTCCTCCTCCCCCTCCTCCTCCCCCCTCCCCCTCCCCCCGACCAGCATTGCGAGGTGTCGGTGGTCGGGATGTGGGCAAGGCGGAAGGGAGGGGGGGGGTCGAGGCCAAAGTGGAGGAGAGATTCGGAGGAGGAGGAGGAGGAGGGGGAGGGGGAGGGCAAAGAGGGGCAGGGGGAAGGGGAGGGAGCGCCCTGTGTCTCGTTAAGGTCCGGAAAATCCCCCGCTAGTCCCTCGACCATCACTCCGGAGACCCGCCAGCCTCGCAGCGGAGCAGGGCGAAGGCCAGACCAGGCAGGGGGATAAGGCACGATTTCCAGCGGGGGGGGGGAAGGGGCAGGGGGATGGATGGCAGCAGTTAGGAGGGGGGGATACAGGGGGTTAGTGGAAGGGGGAAGGGAAGAGGGAGGGGAGGGCGAAGAGAAGAGGAAGGGAAGGTGGTTTTTGGGAATGGCCCGTAAGGGAGACAGAGGAAGGGAGAGGCGAGGCCACTGGGGGAGGCTTATGGGACGGATATGGAGGGGGCGTTTCCCTCCCCTACTGCAATGGGCAAGCAACGCGAAGGGAACGAGAGCTCAATGCATGACCCGCCCCCCCCCTAAAGCTCGCTGGAATTGGCCTTCTCGATAAAGGTAAAAGCAATCTGAAGTAATAACAGCGTGGGCAGGTGTCCTCTCGAGCGGCATAACGTGGCCTGCATATTACACGGCTTGATTTGATCCGTCGCGGTAACAGCTGATGCGTTACGTGTTGCAAACAGTCAGGAGTGTGTTTGTATATATGTATGATAGTATGTTTTCTTGCATTTTTCGTGTATGTACATGCGTCTCTCTCTATGAGCTCGTGTCCGTGTTCTTGTTCTTATTCGTGTTCGTGATAACACCCCTGGTAGAAAGGCCTAATCAGGTCAGTCCACTTTCTCGCGCCTTGTACAGCCAGGCAGCCAGTCAGGACGGCCGGCATCAAACTTCCGACTGACAGTTCTCACTTTCTTACACTCGCCAGGAATTTTCCAAATGCCAAAGTTCAGGGGGGGAAAAAAGAGTAAATCACGCACGCACAGCGAAAGAAACCTTCCCCCACCCCCCCTTCAACTTCCTCCCTAAGTACCCCTCCCCCTCTCGAAAGCTGTTGTCGGTCGAGTGTCTTCGTTCCTGAATGACCCAAAGGAGAACGATGACTTAAAGGACTCGGGTTAATGGTAAAAAAAGGAAATGAGAGAGAGAGAGGGGAAAGAAAAAGTCGAAAAGAAATGAATAACTTGACCCGGGGGAAAGCACGGGAAGAACGGATGGGAGGGAAGGGAGGGGGGGGGGGGGCGAGAGACTCCCTCCCAAACGAGCCTATTTTTATTCCTCGGGAAAAAAAGGGATTGGGGCGAGACGCTGCGGCCGCGAGGGACCGACCCTTGTTATCGCTCGGGAGGTGAAGGTGAAGGTGGAGATGAAGGTGAGAGACGCATAGGGAGAGAAAAGAGGAATAGGAATAGGAAGGAAAAGGGAAGGTGGGTATAGGAGAGAGAGAGAAGAGAGAGAAGAGAGGGAGGAACGGCGACCGGAGTGATATAATAGGGATTGTCTCCTTACTAAAATAGCGGCATGTGCACGCAACTGTGTGTGTGTGTGTGTGTGTGTGTTTAACGAGTGCGTGTGCGATGAGGTTGGTGTCCGTGTCGTAGGTGTGATGATATTGGGCGATGGTGGTGGTGATAGTGTGCAGGCTCGGCACGGTCCAGCACACAATCCGGCGGGCTCACCACTCAAGTTCGGACAAGTATTAATGATCTTGAGACTCGGGGCTGGGAGGGGAAAAAGGGGGGGAGGGCAGAGGGGAAGAGGAGGATGGAGGGAGAATGGAGAGAGGGGAAGAGGAGGATGGAGGGAGAATGGAGAGAGGGGAAGAGGAGGATGGAGGGAGAATGGAGAGAGGGGAAGAGGAGGATGGAGGGAGAATGGAGAGAGGGGAAGAGAGTGGAGGAGAGAGGGTAGAAAAAGGGTTAAGGATAAAGGGAAGAGAAGGGAGAGAAAGGGGAGAAGTGAGGGGAAAAGTATTGGAGGAAAGGAGGATCGACAGACGAAAGTAGTTTTCGAGAGGAAGGAAGATAAAGCAGGCTTTGGGGGCGCCTAGGAAAGGGGCGGAGGGAGATTTGAAAGGAATTTCGAAGTAGACGAAGGGAGTGAAGTAGGGAAGGGGAGGAGGAGGGACGGGTGGGGGGGGGAGATGGAGTGATTTTGAGGGAGGCGCTTCCCTTATATCCCTATCCTCTCGTCTACTCCCCATTCCCTTCCCCTTTCCCTTCCCTCCCCCACCTCTCCCCCACCATGGCGTTTCCTTGATAACTTTGCTCATTGTTACCAGTTCCGCTCGATGACTTCCTGCAGTCGGGGCGAAATTTAATAATTGTGTCGAGATGGAGAGCGGCCGAGGCAAATTGCGCCCGACGGACAGCTGATGCCTGAAGCTCGCACGTTCCGTTGCTGACTCGTGCGGTCCCTTCCTTCGCGAGACCGTTCTCTTTTTTTTTTTTGCAGAATTTTGATTGGTCCTTTGGGAAAACCCTGGCATATTGCACCCGACTGACAGCTGGCCACCAGTCTGACGATCGTTCGCTCTTTTGCCCCAGCGTTCGTTAGGGTGTTTGCTCGCACGGTAGCTCGTTTTCTCATTGGATTTTTTACAGTGCGGTACGGTCGCTATCCCTACTCTTTCGCTGGATCCTTCCGTTTCGATCAGGGCTGGGCGATTTGAAAGTTGGGGGGGGGGGAGCGGCATGGGGAGTGTGCGCTGTCTAGGATGTTACCGGTTGAAGTAAAATGGCTCATGTTATCCCATCCTTCGTTGCGTAAATAGACGGGGAGGCCTTGAAGCAGTGGAGCAGCAGCGGGAGCAGGAGACTAGCTTCAGTGTGCTATCTTTTCGAAGGAACTTAGGCATGATGAAGGACTGCGGGCTTTTTGCGTGCGTGCCAGACGGCGGTGGCACTGCGGGAAGCGGTGGCTGGTTCGTTGTGGCACTGTAAAAGGAGCGTCTCCTCGATCTCCATCACTCCCTCCTCCCTCCTCCCCCTCCTCTTCCTTCTCCTCCTCTTCCTCCTCCTCCTCCTCCTCCTCCTCCTCCTCCTCCTCCTCCTCCTCCTCCAATCCGGTCGTTTTATCGGCACACAAACCGGGAGAAGGTGGAGTGGTGGTTACCATCTCCTCGCGGTACTGTACGAGATGTGCGAGTGGCACTCTGGAAGGGTGTTGGCGCTGTTACAGGAGTAGGAGATTAGCGGCAATGCTGAAGCTTAGAGGTGGCACAACGGATAGTGCAGGGAGGAAGGTGGCAGTGGCGCTCTGAAGCAAAATGATTAGTGTCATTTGTTCGTAGCTTTATTGCGTCATGGCACTCAGGGTTAACGGAGAAGAAAATACTCGAAGACTGAGAAAGAGATCGGAGAGGATGAATTGGGAAATGATAAAGAATGGAGAGGGAATGGAAAAAAAATATTAATGTGTGTATATATAAGAGATGGAGGCAAATTAAAGAGGAAACAGGGATTATAAAGAATCGGGCTGAGGGAAATGTAAAAATGTAACCGTTGCAGGTAAGTGTTTATATAAAAATGCCCAGTAGTAGGAGGAAGAAGGGTAAAAAGAAGAGGAATACAGAAGAGGGGAAATGGGGAAGACAAGGTGAAAGAGGAGGAAAGGGGAAAGCGAATTAATAGATAACAGTAATGAAGCTTGAAGAATAGCGGTGCATTATGGCGGCTTGCCTTCCAGCTGCTTCCCCTCCACCTCTTCCTCCTACCCGGTCCCCCCACTCCCTTAACCCTGTTTTCCCCTTCCCTCCCCTCGCCCCTCCCTTACCCCTCAGTGCTCTGAGCGAACCGGTTCACTAATGTGGTTCTCTCTCTCTCTTCTTACAGAACGGACCCTATGGCGGTTTCAACGACTATGAGAACCAGCCCAGAAGAAGGTAAGTGTGGATTTTTATATGGGTTTTTGGTTGCTGTTTTAAGAGGAGTGGAAAAGAAAGGAATGAAATGGAAAGTGGGTGAATGAATTGAACGAGTCAGCGAGCGAGTTTTTTTTTTTTGTGAATATCTCACCCCTCCTTATCTCTCCTCTCTTCTTTCTCCCCTCTTCTCTCTTTTTTTTTCTTTCTTTTTCAAACGTAATGAGGTGGCTATGTATGAACCCGAGCGGTAATGTAGCGAAGCGAATATACACGGACGGTTTGTGTGTGTGTGTGTGTGTGTTTGTGTCTGTGTCTGTGTCTGTGTCTGTGTCTGTGTCTGTGTCTGTATCTGTGTCTGTAGTCATGTAGACTTTTTTACTACAACCAGAAAGCGCAGAAAAGGAAAATCCATCCGGGTCGTTTGTATGTAGGAAGCATTTGAATGTAGGACCTTTTCGCTTGAATTTCCCCTTCCTCCTCTCTCCATCCCCCCCTCTCCATCCCCCCCCCTACTCCTTGCGTGTTGGTTTGAGCAGTTGTGGGCTTTGGATCTTTTATGGCGGAGACTTTTGCGTTTTGTTGTCTCGTCGTCATTAGCGTGGCGCTCATGGTCTCTCCCCCCCCCCTCTCTCTCTCTCTCTCTCTCTCTCTCTCTCTCTCTCTCTCTCTCTCTCTCTCTCTCTCTCTCTCTCTCTCTCCCTCCCTCCCTCCCTCCCTCCCTCCCTCCCTCCCTCCCTCCCCCATCTCTCTCCCTCCCTCCTCCCTCTCCTTCTTCCTCTCCCTCTCCTTCTGCCTTCCTCCCTCCCTCCTCTTCCTCTTCCTCTTCCTCTTCCTTTTCCCCCCCCCCCCGCCCTCCCTCCCCCACCCCCTCGTCACGAACCAAAACCAGAGGAACAGCAACAACAAACCTAACTGCGGGCGCGCATGCAAGGAGATCGAGTTACGCGCGTAAACTTGAAGGTTGGTTTTAAACACCAACGTAAATAGAGGAATCATGAATTCGGGCCAGATGCCAGCGCCGAGTTATGAATGAGTTGTTAAAAACGCCCGAAAGATTTAATTTTGTCCTTACCCCCCCCCCCCCCTTCCCTTCCCCTCCCCACTACCCACTACCCACTGCCTACGACCCGCTCCCCTCCTGCCCTCGCGCCTTCAAAAACTTTGAATGACTAGGTTTTTTTTTATGAAGATCGTCATGACACTTGACACACAACAACAACAGTGAGTGAGTGAGTGAATGAATGAGTGTATGAGTTTGTGTGTGTGAGTGTGTGTGCGTAAAAGAGAGAGTTGTGATATTAAAGAACATTGTTGTGTCGTTACTTGATTCAGTCGCCAGTAGTAGGAACAGCAGACAGTGGTATTCATGGTATATAAAAGCTTCATCCAGAATCAGTACCCTGTGGTATAGATAGATAGCTGGATGAATAGGCCGAGAAGTCGAACAAATATGATAAGAAAGGCGATTTTTAAAAAACTACTTTGCCAGAAAATAGTAGTCAAGAATGAGCATTGTCATAACGCAACATATGAGGTGAAATAAGAGGAGGAGGATGATAAGAATTATATAAAAAAAGGAAAGGCGGTTAATCTAGCACGTTTTAAAACCATCTTTTAGATATTTTAGGCGGCGCCTGAAAACGGGCGTACCGGTGTTGTCCGAAACGTGGCAAGGACTAGTGTTTATTTCTTCGTTAGTCGTTTGTTATTGCTTAGTGTGATGAGAGTGGTGATCCTCCGTGCAAGAGACTAGGAGATCAAATGTTTTCTCGTTTTTTTTTTTAATGTAAATTGGCCTTTTTTTTCGAGGGGGGGGGGGGTTCTTTCACGCAGTTCCTTGAGAACCACTTGGGTTCCTGCAGGATGGCCCCGATCTTCGTGAGTTGAAGCCAGGCCACGGGCACGCGATGATGATGGCGTTCAGGGCCGGCTGGCGAATAGATCAATCCGTATGTTAAAGTGTCCGGCTGCCAGCACTAAAAGGGCGCCGTTAAGTGCGGCCGTAATATTTACGGGCGCAGGTCGCGGCGCCCTGTTTACGATCGGGGCGGCGTTTCCGGCGGACGTTACCACCCGCCCCGCTCTTATTAGCTTTATCTTGATTTCCTTCTTTCGCTATTTCGCGTTCTCGTTATTTTTTCTCTTTTTTTCATTCTCCCATTCTCTCTCTCCCTCCTTCCCTCCCTCACCCCCTCACCCCCCCCACTTTTTTTCTCCTCTTTTTTCCCTTCTTCCTCCCCTCTCTCCGCGGTCCCTCTCCTACTCGAATGGGTTGTCTTGTTTTGCTTTTGTTTAACTTAAATGAGTTGCTGTTTATTCCTTGCTTCTTGGTAGTCATATGGCACTTTTTTGGCACTTTTTTTCTTTTGTAAACTCTAGCTTTGAAGTTTTTTCGGGAGGCCTCCAGGTGGCTTTTGTCGGCGTGGGATCGCTCTGTATTGTTCCTGATTACTACTATTATTTTCTCTATTTGTCTCTCTTTCTCTACGTCTCCCTGTCCCTCTCATTTCTACTCACTTCCCTCTCCCTCCTCCTCTCCCTCTCCCTCCTCCTCTCCCTCTCCCTCCTCCTCTCCCTCTCCCTCCTCCTCTCCCTCCTCCTCTCCCTCTCCCTCCTCCTCTCCCTCCTCCTCTCCCTCTCCCTCTCCCCCCCCCCTCCTCCTCTCCACTCCTCTTCTTTCCTCTCCCCTCTTCCTCTCTCCACTCTACCTATCTGTTGAATTCTATACTCCCACCTCCCACCGTCTCTCCTCCACATCAATACCGCGGCAGTGGCTTCATCTAAATTTCAAATATTCGTTCTAATTTGTGTTCCTGGTATGTGATGTTGGGGCACTCCTCCCCTCCTCCCCTCTCCCCACTCCCCATGTTACCAGCCTTTCCCTTCTCGTTCGTTTGTTCATTCTCCCTCCGCCTTCCCCTCGTTTCTCTCTCTTCTCCCGTCATTTCCTTCCCACCCCATTTCGTTTGCTCGGTCTCTTCAATTTTGATTCCCTCTCCCCCTCTCCCTCTCCCTCCCCCTCCCCCTCTCCCTCCCCCTCTCCCTCTCCCTCTCCCCCTCCCCCATACCCCTCCCCCTCCCTCTCTTTCCCCATATCACTCTTGTCATCTCAGTTCATGTTCTTGGATTTTCCTTGTGTACTTCTCCTTTGTAACGCTGACTTTGCTTTCTTCCCTCTCCTCCTCCTTCCCCCTCCCCATCCCCTCCCATTCCCTCCACTCTTCCCTCTTCCCTTCTCTCCCCCTTCTCTCCCCCTTCTCTCCCCCTTCTCTCCCCCACGCTCCTCCCCATTGCCTGATATTCCTTTACCTTTAAACCAGCTTCCATTCTTGGTGCCTTAGATACCTGCCTTTGACTCTCTCTCCCCCTTTAATTCTTCTTCTTTCTCCACCTCCCCTCATCCGCCTGTCCCCTCTTACTCTCTCTCTCTTCTCGCTCGCTCTTTGATATTTTTTTTGTTTTGGTCTCATTTTATTTTGCTAATTAGGTATCATTTTATGTGAAGAAGCTTATCAACTCATTCATGAAATAGGGTTTTGAATTTGTCCTCCTGCCTTTTCCTTCTCTTTATCTTCTGTTGCTCCTCCCCTCTTCCTCTTTCTACTCTTCTTTATTTACCTTCCTCCCTTATCACGTGTCTTCGCCGCTCAAAGCCAGCCCATTCTCTCTCCTCCCTCCCTCCCTTCATCGTTTCGTCCATCCTATTCCCACCCTCATCATTCCTCTTGTCTCCTCCCTCCTATCCCCTCTTCTCTCCTCCACCTTCCTCATCCCTCCTCTATCCCTCTTCTCTCTTCTTTCCTATCCCCACTTCTCTCCTTCCCCGCTAATTTCTTCGTCTAAGTCTCCATCGTTATGTTGTATGTCATCAGACCTTATGACAGAGTCCGGCGCTCGTTTTTCGTTGCGATTTGTACCCGCCTTCGTTTTTTGTTTTTGCTTCTCCCTCTTTCTCCCATTCTCGTTTCCCTCTGTTCTTGGACTCTCACTCTTCGGTATTTCTCCCGCTCTTTTCCTCTTTTCTTTTTGTCTCTTGCTTTTTTTTCACCCTCCCTTTTTCTTTCTCGCTCCCCTTCCCTCTCCATCCTCTTTCTCTTCGCTCGACACGGAGCAACCCAGTCGTTCTTTCTCCCTTTGTTTTTCTTCAGTTTCTCCTCCTCCTCCCTCTTTCCCTTTCTCTCTTCCTGTTCTCAGTTTGCGATTACTGTTTTCGAACTCAATTGACCCAGTTTTCTCTCTACCTTTTCCCTCTCCCTTTTCCCCTTTTCTTTCGTTCTATCAAGTTTTCTTTTTTTTTTTTTTTTTTGTCCTGTTCCCTCCCTCCCTCCCCGATCTCCCCTCCCTCCCTCCCTCTGCCTTTCGCTTTTTATCTTTCACTCTTCCCCCCCCTCCTTCCCCAGGCCCTCTCCCCGGGTACTGCCATAAACATTCTCTCAGATCGGCTGTTTCCACTCGATAGAGAATCGGTACCGGTTGCCTCCACGAGTGTCACTATAAGGATATGTTCTTTCTGCTTGTTTCTTTTTTTTATCGAGTGACAATTAATTTGTTTGAGAACCGATTCCCCTTTGTTTTATCGTCGTATCACCCGTTTCTAGCCCGCCCGCGCTTTATGCGGGTGCTGGTGTGAGCGTGGGTGTAGGTGGGTGTGCAGCGTTTATATAAAGGCTTGTGAGTGTGTCTTCTGGGAAATAAGGTTTCGCGTATTGGTATTCTTTACCGGTGTGCTGGGAAACTCCCGCCACGCTACACTTCACTACGACACGCCGGCTCACGGCCGCTACACACCACCACTACACCGCTGCCGCCACCGCCGCCCGTGCAGCAGCAGCAGCAACTCAGCCGGCGAAATGTATTCAAATTGAATAGCTGAACCGAAGCCGTTGAGACACGGACTCTCGGTGTGGAAATATTGCTCTGAGCCCTCCTGTCGATCCCGGCGAGGAGGCCCTTTGTGCGGCGGTGGCAGGACGAAGCCGGGTGGTGGCAGGACACTGTAAGGACAGCCGAGGAGTTGG